TCTTAGAAATCTTCTCAAGAAGTCGATAAGCCGTTTTAACGTTGTTATCTACTAACTTTTGCCCATTGTTCTAACAACGTTAAAACGGCTTATCGACTTCTTAAGAAGATTTCTAAGAAGAAAGTAAACCTACAGACATCGATCTTATTCAACAAAATATATATATATATATATATATATATACATAAACACACATGGATATTGAGATAAGATTATTTTCCCAATACATTTAAAAACAAGTGGCATGCTTACTTTTCCCTGACCACCCATAGACATTGCAATTGATGGAGGTTCTTCAAACGTCTTGGTTTTACTATTGTAAGCCTGAAAAAATGTTTCAAAAAAACACACAAACATTTACTTGCATAAAGACTTTTACAAGTTCTAAAATAACTTTCTTTCAAACATTAGAAAAATTATTCTATTAGGCAGTAGCCTCAGCTTTAAAAACTTGTTTATTTGTATAGTTATTTCAAGTCCTGTTATGCGATATATGTAAAACATTTTACAAAATACCCAATGTTGCTGAAGTTTCTATATGGAATTTATTTTCTTTGTGTTTTAACAACTGATCAGATTAATTCTGTTTCAGATCTTAAAAGTTGGTAAAGTGATTTATTCTAAGATTTTATTCTTAAATTTCATTTTGGAAATAGTGCTATATAACAAATTCTCTTACATATAAAAATCATTTTATTATTAAATTTCTCAATGATTCCTTGGGGTGGCTCTGAATCAGCCTTTAAAGACCTTTTACACTATATTGATTTTCACAATATAATATTTTAATTACACAACATAAGTTAGAGTTTTGAATGTTTTAATATCAAACCTCATTAAAGTAGAATCTATCTGGTCCAGTTAGAGTAAAGTCATGAATACTCTGGGTAAGGTTACCACTGTACACCACATAGCATTTACCCTGAAGCAGAGAAAAGTCTACTTCAACCTCTGTAATAAAAAATAAAAAAAATTGGGGGGAATTCTTTTTAAGATAAAAATACTACACCTAATAAAGCAGCAAAATAAATTAATATTTTTTTAACATGGAAAATATGGAATCTTCAATTACAGTAAAATTGCACAAAATACTGAGTATTATGCTTGTAAAAACAAAGATCTTCACAATAACCTAGCACTAAGTATATCACTATAAGAAGTTGTAAGAATATGCTTACATCTACAACCAGCAAGATGAAAACAATGTAGTCACGGGTTAAATTCTAATTAATAGTAACATTTTCAGATAGTTTACCTGTAATTAAATACATGGCAATAAATTAATTACAAAATAGGTTTTAGACAGAAAATTCCAAACATAAAAATAATTACCACATTGCCCCTAATTAACACCCCTGGGGGCACTAGTTATAGTATTTGTGCAGTTCCAGATTCTATTTTTCACATGTGATTTGTTGATTTCAATGCTAATAAATGTGTGTTTCTTTTTCTTCGTTTTTTTTTCAAATCAAATTGCAGTAATAATAGTGGATTATATGTTGGATTACTATTGCTGTCACACAAGGTAAGTTTTATAAAAATACTAGGGGGGGATAATTAGAGAGGGGGCATTAATTAGGGGCCATACGGTACTTAAAGTTCATGTTAATATCTAGCAGTGCAGATTAAAATACTAAATATTTTTAAACTAATGTTTAACTATAAAATTTTAGACTTGTTTTTATGCATTTATAATCATACTGAATAATTTTGTTTTTTTCTTGTTACAACACTAGGGTGAAAAAAAGTGATAAACAATATTGGATGAAATTATTCATTTGCTTTATAAAATACAAATACGACCTCAGCAGTATTTAATGGTATTAAATGCAATTTCTATGGTATTTCTGATTAACAATTTTTTAAGTAATTCATATGTCATCAGGAACCCTATATAACAAAGTAAAGCTATTTAGTGGATAAATCATTTAGAGAAATGTGTTTGAAAACCTAATGGAGTTCCTCCATCCATTGATATTTCTATAATATATGGAGCTGTTGAGTTTTATTCTTGTCTGTGATATTAAAAGTTAATATACCAATAAAAGAATATATATATACCCATCTGTTGGTAACACTCAAATTGCCTCAATGGTTAGAATGTCCAAATTTCAAGAAGTCTTGTGTTGAAATACCAGTACAGTTGGCTTTTTTTTTAAATAAGTGATTATGTTTCGAGCAAGATCTTTCAATATTTGGAAAAACACAAATACTATCATAATTTAATTTATATTTGTTAACATTGGATTTCAAACACTGGATGTCGTGGCAACACTTAATTCTTATGTGAAAGTCTTGCATTAAAATCCTAACTTGACTGGAATTTGATGTTAATTTTATTTCTTGTGTTTATAAATGATCATATTCACAAAAAGGAATTTCAATACCACAATATATTAAATCAAAAATTTTAGGTAGTGATTAACATTCAAATTAAAAGACGGCATGTTTATAGCATCAAGCCATCTCAGCTTTTCATTTCATTTCAACACTTCCAACACCACTGAACTTCTGAATAAAACTAAAAATAGTTCAGAAACAGTACAAAATGAACAGTCACCAGTCAGTAGTATAGGTCAGACCTGTTTTACTGAAACTCTTAACTAATCACTTTATATTTCTCATTTCTTTTTAGTGGGACAATACCCCAGTCCTTATCAGGACCAGAATCAAATGAAAGAAAATAACAACTACAACCATGAGTGCAACTACTTCTACTGGTGTTGTTACTAGATCTGCAGGACCAGCCAGGACTAATGAAGAAATACAGGCATGCTTACAGACAATTATTCCTGACACCATTAGTGACAACTCAGTTCAAGACAATACCCACGGACTCAGACACAGATTCATGTTATTTCATAGCCCCACCACCCTCTGATGCCAACACAAAGTGTGACAATGAAGGATTTTCCCACTGTAAGAAGAAAGAACAGAAAAAGAAGAATTCATGGGTAAATATTAAATTTTATGATCAAACTAACACACAAACATTTAATGTATAACCAACCACTAATACCACACCATGCAGCACACCTACAGTGCTAACCAATACATCTAATACAGTCACATAGAAACAATGAAACATTCAAGCACTAATAGTTGAAAGCGTTCCATACACCCTTCGTCAAAAACAAACTGCCATTGAGTTTAGAAAATATTTTCCCACATTTAAATTTAAAGAAATAAGACATCTTCCCAAAAGTGGTCTTGTTGTAAAATGTGATCAACTGGCTAAAGGTAGATTTTGGTGGCAATGCTAGCAGACACCTATTATTTACACATAATCACAATAGTTGTTAAAAGTGTAGACCTCAATCCTGAAGAAACAGAAATTCAAAACGAACTGGTAGCATTAGGATTTCAACCTAAGAAAGTAGAGAGAATCATATATTTTCATTCCAAACAAAAGACACCTCTGATTAAAATTTGATTTGAAAACAAAGAACACTATGACTCTCTACTTGCCAACAGATGCATTCTCTTTTATAAAACACACAAAACAGAAATTGCCAAGCCACCATTCAAATATATCATTCAGTACTTCAAATGTCAAAACTTTTGGCACTTTATACCCTATTGTAACACTAACCCCAGGTACATAAGATGCACAAGGTCGCATGATGTGGAGTGCCCTAATCAGTGTGACGAGGTTAGATGCACCAACTGCCAGGGCCCCCATGCAGCTAGTTATAAAGCTTCCCCCAAATAACAACACGTAAGAAGCAAAGTTTTAAACCTCCCTCTTGTGGCACAGCAAACAAATGACACAATCCAATTTACACTTCTCTCAAACAGAGCACCACAACCACAGCATACTAGAACACCCCTCCTGCAAACTCCACCAATCACAACTACACTTACACAACAATCTAGGCACATCTCTACTGCCACCTGATACTCACTAGCATCACAAAACACGCAACTTCTAAACTTACCAGTTCTACAGACATTAAACTTTGCAGCAAATAAACCAGTTAGTAACTAAAAACATGTTGTGACATATGCAACTACTGCCCACCATAACACAACACAAAACACGCAACTTCTAAACTTACCAGTTCTACAGACATTAAACTTTGCAGCAAATAAACCATTTAGTAACTAAAAACAACATGTTGTGACATATGCAACCACTGCTACCATAACACAACACAGAACACCAAAGGATCCTATAGATATTAGTGAATACACTGTTAACTTTCTACCATTCCTCACTGAGTTATGCAAGTTCCCTCCCAATGGCAGCTACCTGAAACTTCTAACAAAGCACTAACTGCACACATATGTAACACAGCTAAGTATTATTTTAATCCTCCGAACCTCTTTTCCACCCCAAATAACAATACACATAAAAACATGTAAGCATAAAGCAGCCATTTCACACAAAACCTAAAAATATTACCAATATTCAAGGTGCTTTTAACTCTAAGAAACTTGATCTCCACAATCTCAATGGTAATGACAATGCAGATATAATCATAATATTAGAAACATTAGCTAAACAAGTGTTACAATCCGCAGTTTAAATCTTATATGATCACTGCCACAACAACAGATATAACTGTCCTTTTCAAAAATAATTTAGCTAGCATTATATCAATAGACGAGTCTCACCTCAACAAAAAATGAAAGTATATTTTGTAACATCCATTTAAATACTGCCAATGTCATATCAATAGCTGCCAAATATAGCTCCCCCTCAAAAGACCTAGATATAAATTATCTTCAATTTGCATAAATAAACACCCTAAACCAATAGTTATAGGAGATTTAAACACCCCACATGTTGATTACTTCACCAATCACACAAATAGTAGAGGAACTGCACCCTACACACTACTAGAAAATAACAGCATGCAAGTAATTAACATTGACACACCAACAAGGTAGAACTTGGTGAATGACACACAGATTACATTATTGTATCAAACTCATTACTTCCAAAATCTAGAGATATTTTAAAGTTCATCTTTAAGTTTCTAGCAATAACTTCCCCTTTCATTTACACTTCAATCAAACATACCACATCCAATATCAGGCCTCCCACCAGTTTATAACTACACAGACACTAACTGGAAAGAGTTCAACACATTCATTGATACTTTCCTTCCACCAATAACCACGAGAAAAGAAACGAAAATACAATTAGATAACTATGCAGACCAACTTACACTAGCCATAACAATAGCTACAGAAAAAGTAATCCCCACATCCTCTACAGGCCACCATAGCAATCACTGGAAACTCATTCACTTATAACATAGAGCTTTAGATGATTACTTATAATCATGCAGGATACCAGCCTAAAACCTAAAATTAATAAAACACATTCACAAAAATTAAACATAAAAATACTTAAAGAAAGTAAGGAATTTGAATTTTGTAATAGCCTCGATAAGGTACGTGATAATCCTAAAACTTTTTGGAAAAACAATAATAACATCACACTAAATACAGCAACATTACAGCTAAAACAGACTTTGATAAAACAAATCTTTTAGTAGATTATTAACAGGAATCCTAAACTCCCCAAGCCTTAACCAGAACAAAAGCAAAACAGTTTCATATTCAATTTTAAGTAACTCAGTTTTTGTAGTTTTGACTTTCTTGTTTCAATACTTTTAGTAGCATTAAATCTTTGTATGTTACTATAGCTAGCTAGGTTTTTGTATATATTGATCCTACTTGTCTTTATATAATTAAAAAACGTATTATACTCATAACACACAATATTTTCAATGCTGGCACTACAAAAATATATACACACATATGCAGGCATACCTTCATCACTCCAAAACAGTAGATTAAGATCTTGCATATAACTTGCTGTCTTCAATATATGAATGTTTTCAGGCCTAAGAATAAAGTTTTTACATCAATTAAACCTATAGAAATACACTTTAGCTATGTGTTTCTAGTTTTATTTCTCTGCTGTGAAACATTAGAAACAAAACTTTTAATTATTTCAATAAGTTTCAGTTCTTCTTTTAAGGATTTTATATAATAATTTTTTTGAAATTTATAATAAATAAATAAATGAACTTACT